GAACCCAAGGCGTCCTACCCCTGCCCCAGGCCCCTTTACGTTTTATTTTCAGCAGGGTCTTGCTGTTACCCAGGCTGAGTTCGAACTTGCGAGCCCTCTGTCCCAGTCTTCCAAATCGCTGGGACTGCAGGTGTGCCCCACACCGCGGCGGGTTGGAAATGTTCTTGGACCTTAGAACCTTGCTCAACAAGTTTGAGGTTTGTTTCTAGGTGTGTTTTGTTCCTTTGTTTTGGCGAGCATCTAAAATAATTAAATGGCACTTTAACTCCTAAGCGTCTGCGCTACACCTTCCCCGACTTTTTACAGACCACAGAAATCAGGGTGGCGAAGTCTCACTTTTCCGCGTCCTGGGCGCACGTGGAGGCAGCGCCTGCAGGCGTCTGGACTTCCGGCGGGGGGCGCTGTGCGCCGTGATCTTCGGAGTGAGCAGTGGCTCGGGAGGGACAGCCGCACGTCTCTTGAGAGCCAGGGGGACAAGGTCCAAGGCTGCTGAGTGGGTGGGCTGGGCCCAGCCCAGGAGGGCAAACCCGCGAGTGCCAGGGCTGGGGCGGGATGCGAGGGGCTCCACCTCCACCTTGGGCTTGTTTCTTTACGTATTTATTTATTGGGAGGGGGGACACGTGTGGGACACGCAAGTAAAAGCTGCGGGTGGCTCTGCTGCGAGGCCAAGCCGCCTCATCAAAGGGCTTCAAGTTGGAAGGAAACAGCCCAGGCCTTGGGGGAGAAAACCCTTGGGTCTGCTCTGGACCCTGGGAGGAGGAATTAGGCAGCAGCCAGAGCTGAGATTTGCTCTGGCGTAAGACCAGTTGGAGTCCATAGCAGTCATTTACACAGACCCGCTATGTGATGCTAGGTGGGTCACTGAACTTGTCTGACCCTCAGTTTTCTCCTTTGTGAAGTGCACAGTGGGTGGAGAAATCCTTAGGAGAACGTGAGCAAATTGCTTAGCACCGCACCTGCCAGAAGACGTGAGCTCCAGAGGCTGCTGAGCCTTCTGCCTTGCTTGGGTTCCTAGCGCCTAAGACTGAGTCAGTTTAAGATGCTGCCCATTGCACTGTGCAGACAGGTGCAGGCGGGACAGTAGTTTAGTGCATCTCCCAGAACTACATGTGCAAAGTCTGCGCTTCCAGGTGCTCCCTTGGCTCCCCAGACACATGCATCTCCCCTTGGAGCCTTTCCCCATCGGGCCTCCTCCCTGTTGCACGTCAGCGGACGCAGCTGTCTGGGGAGCGCGGTGGGGCGGGCCGACAGCGGGACTCCACTCCCCGCAGTTTCGAAGCCCAGCCTCCAGCCAGCCCTCCTGGGGAGCCTGCAGCGCTAGGAGCCCCGCAGTCCTGAGGCCACTGCGCCTTTGGTAACCCTTCCAGCGCCGTAGCGGCCTCAGGCCACCTTCCAAGAAGAGACCTGTGGCTTTTACCGTGGAGGTGGAGGAGGGAGAGCAGCGCGACCCTGGACCACTCTGCTCGCTGCCACCACCAAGCAGGCTCCGCAGCAGACAGGGCCTGGGATTCCACACTTGATCGCAAACTTTCCAGTGCCCCGCAGGGAGCGAGCTCGGAGCATTGGGGAGGCAAAGGGTGACTTGGAGACAGATCATGGGGAGCTCCCAACCTCCCGTGCAGCAGCATTCCGGCTCTTCAAGGCCTGGTTCACACACCCTCGTGGATCCTCTCTGTGAAGCTTTGTCCTGCACTATCAGCCCCAGAATTGCAGCGGAAAGCTGATATCCTCAAGAACCCTACTTTCGCCCCACCCTGAAACTTCTAAGACTCCTCCGCGCCTTCATTCAGAGCTCTGTGAAGGCACAAGGGAATGGAGACCCCAGGCCGGGCCATGGGTTAACTGGGATGTTCGCTTGGGCGGTGGCCTCAGCTTGCCTTCTCCCTGGGGAGTCTGGGATCCCCAGGAGGTGGGGTGACAGATCCACAGGGCGCCTCTGCCCCCGCGTGGCCTGGGGGGTCTTCCCAAGGGCCAGGGCAACCTCAGCTCAATTGCAGCTCTTTCTTGGGGCCCTCGGAGTAATCAACTGGCTTCAGGTCAGAGCCAGGAGGGGAAGAAGCTGAGTTCCTCAAAGGAAAAAGTGGTGGGGGAGTGAGTGACGTTCTGCCTCTCCGGCAGGAGGCCCTCTCTGGCAGCGATTCCTCCAAGGCCCCAAAGCCTTCTGGACTCTCCAATAGGATTAAGGCAAAAGGAATGGGATTACCAGTAACAGCAGGAGGAAGAGGCCGAAGCTGTTAGCAAAGGTGCCCAGGTAGGGTCAGCCACCTGACATGTACCCAGGAGGCTCCACTCTGGTGCTCCTGGGTGCACAATTCCAACCAGCAACGGATGAGAAGAGAAGGCCTGAAGAAGCGGCCAGGGGGAGGCCCAGAAACCAAGCATGCCCCAGAGGCCGCAGGAGTGCGTCACCACTCCAGGGGGCCCCTTACGGGAGCTGCCTCCCTCCGGCCCTCTCAGCCCTGGGCGACAGGTGCAGCGGCTTGTCTTGGCCACACGCTGTGCCTTGGCCGCTGCGCATTGGTGCGGAACCACTATCGAAACGAGTTTGCGCTTCTGTTTACAAAGCAATCCTGCCATCAAAAGAGAAACAAAATCACCACTTATCACACCCTGTCATAAAGTAATCTGCCCCGAGGGAAACCTTAGGAGGGAGGCACGCGGGAGTGTGGGGACCAGCGACAGGAGGGAGAGGGGAGCGAGGAAAGGGGGACTCTCCCAACTGGCCTGTCGTCAGGCGCCTGGCTCGTCTTGTCCCAGCAGGTCGGGCTCTGGAGCAAGGGTGTGACAGCAGGGCCCACGAGCGGCGTGATATCGCCCTCTTGGTCTTGGAAATGCGCCTACCTTGGCCCCCTCACTCTGAGGTTTATGTTTCCAGTCTTCAAAGATAAACCAAAGGCCCATCAGCAAAGATGAAGATCAGCAAAAAGTGGAACACACACACACACACACACACACACACACACACACACACTGCACCCCTGAATTCTTGGAGACTGTGAAATGCCTTTGGAGGTCTTGAGGTGCAGGGACACACAGGGAATTCCTGGCCCACGGAGGAGTATTTTGCTTTCTCCAAGCCCTTCATCTTCATTTCTGGGTCCTTTTTCCAGGAGGGGTGCAGGCTTGGGTAAATCCAGGTAGCGCCCACAAGAGGCAGGGAAATGGTTTGGAAATGTGGGAAAGGCAGGTGTCCTGGGAAACCATCAGCGATTCAGCTCCGCTCCCGAAGCCTCAGGTTGTCCCCTTCCGAGTCCTGCCTGCTCTGACGTGAAGTGAGAAGGCTTGAAATGCCAAACTCACACCTTGTGGCCTGAGGTTCCTCTCGGTGGCACTGCTCCGCCCTTCAGAAGAAAAGGAGCTCTTCACTCTAGGTATCTGCTCTGAAGCGGCTGTCCTGCTGTGCTTGGTGTCATTAACTCACTGCCTCACGCGTCAGGGCTGAGTTTGCACTTGACTGAAAGATTCCTGACATCTGATGGCCCTCAGCTCCCCAGCTGCCCTTGGCCACACTGGACACCAGCGAGCCTTCCCTTGGAGAGCTTGGTGAGGTTGGCCTAGGTGTGGGGACCTCGTGGAGAGGTGTGTGAGAGCCAGCCTGGATTGGGGATCCTTCTAGTCCGACCCATGATCAATCACTACCCTTCAGAGATCACCTGGGCTCCTGGCCAACGTCCCGAGCCCAGGTGCAGGCAGAATGTTCAGTGTTGAAGTATCATCTGAGCTGAATGTGGCGGCACTCGCCTATCATCCCAGTTATCCAAAGGGCTGAGGCAGAAAGATTGCAAGTTCAAGGTCAGCCTGGGCAACTTGCTCTGTCTCAAAATTTTTAAATACTGAGAAAGGGCTGGGGAGGTGTAGCGCAGTGGCAGCGTGCTTGCCTAGCATGCAAGAGGCCTTGGGTTCCATCCATAAAGCTGTAATAGATAAATAACTATAATTTTCATTTATGAAGCTTGGTGGAGAATTGTTTCATTATTTATTTATTTTTGTGGTGCTGGGGGTTAAACACAAGCTCCTTTGCACGGAGCTACATTCCCAGCCCACTTTTAGCTTTTAATACTTTCAAAATTTTGACATAGTGTTTGGCTAAATTGCTCACCCCCCTCTGGAATTTGTGGTCCTTCTCCCGCAGGCCTCCCAGAGTGCTGGGATTGCAGAAATAGTACCCACATTCTCTGGTACCTCTTTATCCCTAGCCTGAAAGTTGGGGGTGAGGAGGGACAGCCAGGATGTTGATCTGCCCTCACCGAGCTGTGGGTGCAGGGGAACGTGGGAAGCACTTCGGGAACTGCCAGCTTCTGTCCGAGGCACCCTGGGATTGACTTTAAAACTTGCAGTTATTCTCGAAAACCTGGAGGCCCCAGTTTGAGATTTCCTCCTGGGTGTGGCAAAGTGCAAACCTCTCAAACTCACTGCATTCAAATTAATCGACCCAAGAACAGGTCCGATATCACTGCCAAAAGCTAGGAAGCCTCCTCAAGTCTCTGACATCTCTAGGTGGTCTAGACCGGGTTAGCCGGATAAAGGCTTAGAGCAACCCCTTAAATTCTGTCTGCATCTAAGAAACAGTAGCAGCCTTTAGTGGATCATACTAAAGTGTATTTGGGGTCGCACGTAACTTTTCCTTCACATCTGGGCTTTTTTCTCCTCCCGAGCTCCCCTTTTCTCTGCCCCCTTCCCGACTCCTAGCACGCACGACTGGGCATCTCAGGCTCGTGGGCTCGGCCCATGCGCTTGGCACCTGTACTCTGAATCCGAAACTTCAAATGGAGCAAATTCTCTTGCCTCGGACCAGCTTCTGGTACACTAAGCGAAGAGGCATTTCCATCCTATCTCCAGGTGTTTGCTGACCAGCTGTGCATCGGGTCGGGCCGCAGCGCACCTCGGACCTCTCCCCTCAAAGGCGCAAGTGCTCCGTCCTCCTACCTAAAGGTCCCGGAGGCTGCTGGGCGGAGCAGCTGAGACGTCTTTCCCTGGGCTGCTGCCAGACGCGGCGGCGATCACAGCTTTACGCGCGGCGCGCACCTCGGAACTAGCGCGCCGCGTCCCCGGGACACCACGCAACTCCCGGCCCTGGGCCCCTGAACCTGGAGCTGCGTAATCCACGAAAGGGTGTGTGCCTGGGTAGCGCTGCCACGCCTCGAGTGGGGCCTGGTCACTACTGGGGGGCAAGCGTCTCTGCCTGGAAATGATGATATCTGTGCAAACAGGTGGGCCTCGCTTCCGGGCGGCGCAGAGGGGACCCGGGAGCAGACGGCCACTCGTGCGCTCGGGCGGGCCGCGCAGTCGCCGCTCCGCTCTGCCACCGCCCGCTCCCAGGGCCTGCGGGAGGGGCTCAGAGGCCAGGCTTCGGGCTGCGACGCGAGCAGGGGGCAGCCGCGTCCACTGTAGGTCGTCCCTTGGGGATTGAGGGTCCCCGCTGCGCTCTCTGGCGCCAAATCCCGGCGGGCCAGGGGCAGGGAGTGGATTTGGCTCATTCTCATTCAGAATTCAGAGGCGGGTGGAGACAGAGAGTCTCCCAATTGAAGCGAGTCTCCTGAAAGTCTGGGGAGGAAGCCTCAAAACTCTGTCTTGCAAAGCCAGAGCTGTCTCCAGGGCTCGGTCCTGGCTCCCTTTGTGCGCGGCGCTGCAACAACCTTCGCCCGGTTGCCCCTGGCAGGTGGAGATCGGGGTGGCGGATTGGCGCGGGCAAGGCGCTGTTTACTTTCAGTTTGTCTTCTTTGATTAAGGAAGGAACAATCCTAGGATCTTCTCCAGGACCTGTCACGGTAATCTAGAGCCATGAGGGCTGGTTTAAAAAGTAGAGACACTTTCACCGCCTTTCTAGGGGACAGCCATCCTGACGATGTACTCAGCGGGCCGCGGACTTGAGAGTCACTGCTTTGCCACCAGACCTCAGATTTAAAATAATCAAACTTAGGTTACCGTGAAAATCCGTCCGGCTTCCACGTTTTCATCTGTGATCATTTCTTAATAAAGGAGCCTCATTACTTCTGCACTGCTAAAGGATCCCACTGCAGTAAAAATGCCGTCACAGGATGACCTCCGTTTCCAACCCCAGATTCAAAAGTCAAAAATGTGTTATCTAGCTTCCAAGAGTCAAGAAAGTTCTTTTTTTTGTCATTCCAAACCCCTCCCCTCAAATAAAACAATAATTATCTTGGCTCCGAACCCTGGGGAGGCATTGTTCAAAGGCATTGTGTTTTCTGTATTTATTTCAACTTAGCAAATTACACTGAGAATTTAAATTGACAATTTAACAAAGCCAGATCAAGTGTATGGGGTTTAAAAAAAAAGTTAACAGAGCACACACACACATCACTTCATCTGTTTCCAAACTAAATGCGCTTTCTCCATCTCACAATGTAAATTGTTTAACCTTTGTAATGAGATAATTTCAGCCACGATGTTGTGAATGTAAGAATTATACAATTTTCCTTTGAAGTGTGGTGCTCAGAAGACTGGAAAGGAACTTTCCTCTCTGGAAGGGATTGAAAACAAACACTAAAACCTGAGAATTTATACCCGTATTTCCCTTTCTGACTTATTCCTTTGAGATTTACTATTTAAAATATTGAAGTTATAGGATACTGAGTTAACTGTGGTCTTCAGCCTAAATATTTTATTTTTAATTCTGAAGAACCGGTTTTGATTTGCCTCTGGAAGTTTTGAAGGCTGTGTTGTTTGAGGTACTCGGATGAAAAGGAACTCAGTACCCTTTGACTGCTTGTAATTTTTAAACTATTTCAAAGTTCTTGAATTTTAAAGCTACAGCTTGAATGAAACTTTCAGAGAATAAATACTTTAAAATGGTTTAAATACAAGTTCTTTCCTTTCATTATTACAGCACTCAAACAACCATTATATAAAATTCAGGTTAAATACAACATGTAAAAAGTACACATCCAGTTTACTTGTACTTATTATACAAATATTTGTACAACCCCCCCCCCCAGGATATTGACATAATTTGACCATCTTTTTTCTTTGACTTTTATTAGTAGAAAGAGCAATTAACAAAGCAAAACTTCTAAAAATGATGGGATTTCCTTGGTCTTGGCAAGCTCTGGCATCTTCCAGTACCAACGCTACACAGGAAAAGTCTGACTTGTAGTGTTGGAGATTAAATAGTGCTCTGGCTCAAACCTCCCAAAGGACAGGAGTTAGTGTGTTTTCCAAAGTTTTGTCCTGAGGAAGAAATTGCCAGCATCTCAGAATTTTACCTCCCATGGTCGGTTGGCCATATGGTTTGGGGGCCAGAAGTAAGGCAGCACATCATGGCAGGTGTGTGTGTTGGGACAAAGACAGAAAAAATGGGGTCCCAATATCCACTTCAAGGTCACACCCCCAATGACCTAACTTCCTCCCACTAGGTCCCGCCTCCTGAAGGTTCTACTAATTCCCAATAGTGCCACAGGCTGACGACCAAGTCTTAGGGTATGAGTCTTGGTGGGACAGTGAAAATCCAAATCTTAAGAGTGGCCAAAGGGGCAGGACAAGATGTCCAAGCTAGTAGCTTTCTCCTCACCAATACTGTCCCTGACTGAATTCATTCAGGTTGCCGTGCACAAGATTAAAGACTTGACAAAAATACCTCTTCCATTAACTCATGTTTGTAAACCTAAGCATCCGGTCTGCTCCAAATATCTCCAAAGCATTAGTTCTGGGGAAAACTAGGGAAATGGCCCTTCGGTGTGATGCTGACATTTCCCATGCATGAGCCCAACCTCCACTGCAATCTGTAAGAAAACCAGAAAGTGTCAGGGTAGAGTCTGAATATGCCCACATTTACCGGTGTCTCTAGTGTGTTTGGGTGCAGGACTAGTGCTTTGTGGTATTAAGGTGCCAGTATAAAGACTCTTCTTTTAATATCAGTTTTAGTATTTTAGTACTGAGCTTCATCTTATAGTAAATTCCTAATGTTTCATGGAGTATGTTCTCCTTTTTAAGTCAACAAGTCAAAGTATAATCACTATTTGGGAGTTTTTAGGGAGTGATAAGAAACTTAATAAAAAGAAGAGAAGTATACAGTAAGAAAATAAGAAGTAGAAGTACCTACCCAAAAGAATATCTTGCCCACCAATAATTATTCCAAGAGGGGACACAGCTCAGTGGGAAAGTGCTTGCCTGGCATGTGTGAGGGCCTGGGTTCTATCTCCAGTACTGCAAAAAAATTCTTAAAAATTACAATAAAATAGGTTACAGGAACTAAAGAAATTCTTTGCTAATAAGCTTGACTATATTTGTTCTAAACAAATATATGAGCAAACCTCACTAATCTCCATAGAGACAACCAAGCAATTGCAATACCATCAAATACATAAACTCCAAACAAACAAAAATCAACCCCATTCCCAAACATTTTTCAAACAAATAATAAATACTTTTCAAATAAAATTCCAAACATTCTTCAAATAAATAAATTTTAAATAAAATTCCAAACATTTTTCAAATAAAAATCAGTCCCTTCCCAAACCTTGGCAAATGTGGATACTGTATATGTAACTGGTGCGAGAACTGGATTTTGTTTTCTTAAACATTTGCTGCCCCCCTGTGTCCCCTTAGAAAACTGCATGTTGAAGCTACTCATCCTGTCATTCAGCAACCACCTACATCCGGGAGTTCTACCAGAGAAGCAGGGCGAACCCTGATGACTGTAGAAAGAGCAGATGCAGAGATGCACACCTGTAACCCCACCACTCTGAGAGGCTGAGGCAGGAGAATTGCAATCTCAGGCCCAGCCTGTAGCAAAATTGTGTCTCAAAAATTTTAAATGGGTCTGGGGCTGTAGCTCAGAGCAAGACCCCTGGTTTAATCTCCATTTGTATTGAAAAAAACAAAACAAAGCAAAAACAAATGCAAAAAACCACCAGAGACAGGGAAAGGATTGAGGAGAGAGGTCCGGACTTCTGAGTAATCTCGAGTCATTATACAACTGGGTCTTGAGCTCTTCGCAACTGAAATGTGATTGAAGGCAGTTGGGGTAAAGATAGTAAACTAGATTTTCTTTAGGGGCTCATCTAGTTGTAATATTTGGTCATTCTCAGGGAGGACAATAAAAGAGGCGAAGGAAAATCCAATTACCTTATTTGTGGCTAAATTTTCAGTTTGGAGGCATGCCAGAAACCCATGAATGAATTTCCTGTTTCATCATTGGAATCCATGAGCTTGGTCCTCTCTCATCTTGACTAACTTGCTTCTTGGTGTCTAAGGAGCTCTGAGCCTAAGTAGACAACAAGGGATTTCTTTTCTTTAGTGTCCAATGATTATGCAGACTACTGATGGTGACTTCAAGCGAGAATTCTCTTCTGTGTCCGTGGTGTGTGTCAGTCACAGCTGTCATCTCTCCCTCCTTCCCTGATGACAGAATCTGGCTTTGTCTAGTTACCAGGCAACCAGGTGTCTAAAGAAGGGCTAGGTCTCTCTCTCTCACACAAAGGGATGCATCTTGTTTTGTCTAAGCATTAGACATTCACTAGTTCTTAGCCCTCACCACCACTCAGACTCTACTGGGAGCTCCAAGAAAATACCAAGTCCCGGTGGCCACCTCCAGACATTCTGGTTTGACTGGTGTCACTTGACAGTTATTGAAAACACTCCAAGTGATGCTAATGTGCAGTCTAGGTTGTGAGTCTAAGCCAGTGGTGATCATTCCACCCTTCTTTCTGATTGGTTTAGAAGGAATACATGATACAATTTTTGGCCAATGAGATACAAGGGAAATCTAATTACAGGTAAGATTGAGCAACAGTCCCAGCTCCTTACAGGAGTACTTTGCTTCTTTGTTACTTTTAGCTTTTGTTGTCATTTTCATCATTAATGGACTAACCACCTGATTTACTGTTAAACCCTTTCATGCTTGTGCTTTAGTCTTTGTGAATGTGAACTATTAACAATATATAGGCATCTAACACACAGGATCTCAAATCATACTCATATTTATGAGCCCATATGTCCATGCCAGAAAGTTCACAGACCAGCACATGTTGATAAAAAATGATTAGTGATCATAAACTTAATTGCTTAGAGAAACTTGACCCCAGTCTTTGGGATTCATATACCTTTCCTGAGCAGATAAGCATGTTAGTAAAACACAGCTCTTGCTATATGAATTATATGCACACACTTAAATGTGTGTGCATACCTAAGAAAGCATAGTTTTTATTCAGATCACCATCTATACCAATATGAAATTTAAAAACTCAAAGCCCTAAAGGCAGGATATGTGACAATTCGGGTTAACCTGGTTGGATTTCCATTACAGGTAGCCTAACATTTCTCTGCATAGAAAACAGATTTATAATGCAGAAAATATTCATGCACCCTTCTCCAAATAATGGAGCCATTATTTGCCTTTCTTTCTGATGTTTGATGGATACTATTACAAAAATATTTGGAAACAGCTGGTGGAGAGGAAGAATGTTGATGTATATCCTTAGAACAAATTACACAGCAATAGTCTTGAGGTCATTTTTCTTAGGGCCGCAGTTCCATGTATGGAAAAGCAAAGTGTCAGAAACTCCACTCCTCATCCCAACGGTGTGCGCTTGTTTGCTTTATTTCTGCGATCTTGTCACTTCTGCCATGATTCCCAAAGGCCACCCTCTCCCACACTTTCTCTATTCTTTTTCTTTGCGTGGTCAGTTTAAATATAGTATCTACCTTTTTTCTTTTCTCTTTAAAATGAAAAACAAACTTTATAAGTATCTACAAGGACAGCTTGTCTGTGGTTTATTGAAAGGAACGGCCAGTGCTTAAAATTTTCTTTTCTCTTGACCAATTTTGCACGCTTGAATCTGATAATCAGAATGGCTGATCTGAAAACAACAATATGCAGTATAAGAACCATTGTTGAACTCCTACCATCTTGTACGGTGAGGCTCTGCATCATTTCCAATTTTTTTTTTATTACTTGTTCCTGTCTTTGATTGCTTGATCAGTCTTACATTCTTACATCTGGTGGACTGAGCAACTTCGTTGAAGATGACAGTATGTAATGTAGCAACCATTGTTAATCCCTATCATTTTGTTTTGAGGTCGAGGATTGTTGTTGTGTTGTTTTGATTTTGTCTTCATTGTTGTTTTGTTAGTTTTTTTAATCTTTAAAAAAAAAAACAGGAAAAAGATGTTGAGTGTTACACGGAGAGCTTTGCTCAGCATTAGGGAATGTTGACGGGTTTTCTGAACGGCACGCTACTGCCATTGGGAGAACTGGGTTCTAATACCAGCTACCCACTGCATGGCTAGATGTCTTTGAGCAAGTTTCTTCTCGTCTCTCACTTGGAATGCAAACGTGTCAGCCTCCATGGTTTCTGGGGCTCTTTCTGGTACTAAGATCCCCTTCAGTCAGATTCGTATATCCATCAGCTGAGATTCCCCCAACAGCAGGGTCTAGCAACAGTGGTTGTAATAATGAAACATACAAGAAAGAACCACAGGCACGAGACTGAAAGATGTCATCAAATGCCACCAGCACCCTCCAAGAACTTAGGGAAATGGTTCAGTACATCAGCGAGTCAATGCTACTTTAAATTCATCACATTTTACTGAGGAAACTGCTTTCATTAACTTGTATCTCACTACAGCTTCGCTTATAAAATCCAAAGAACTTCTCCCAGTGCATGGAGATATTATGCTGCTTCATCACACTATTGGCTTCGTTAAAGAGAGCTACATGAATAAAGGCCAATAAGATGCAGGGATGTCATTAAAATTATGACATTTCCTTAAGGGAACTGAGTCATACAATCCTTGAACGGATTATGTATAATGATCTTTCTAGTCAAAACCACTGGTATAATACTTTTTTAAAATCTGTTTTTACTTTTTTGTTCTTATTTTTAAAAACAGGGTTAATTGTAAAATATTACTCATCTTCCAAACGTATAATAATATAACATCTGTATATCTAAGTACACAAAACTTAGATTAAAAAAAAATACGTGTACTTTAGCCATAGACACCTCAGGCTAAATCGCAAGCAGTTGGCCGGCCCTTCCTTTGCATTCCTGCAGGGATGGTAAACATCACCGGCAAATTTAAAATTGATCCTACTTTCCAGTCTCTCCAGAGGTTTGCTTGTTCTTTTTTAATAGCTTATTGCAATCCTTAGCATTCCTCAATGTTTCATCTTTAAAATTTCCCCCAATCTTTCATACCATGGCTTTTGCCTAATCTCCCTTGCGTGCTCTGAGAGGTAGACCCCTTGAATCTGGTAATCAGAACGGCTCTCTTCTCACCGTGAAGGTCACGGGACCTCTTCTCACCGTGTCTTCTCATTCTTCGTGATTTTCTCCACGTGGCGCAAAATAGGCGGTTTCTTCCGGTACCTCAGCTGATCCATCTGCATCACAGTGCCAGGCACGGTTCTACTTCTGAGTCCAGAACAGTGAAAAGACAAAGATCCCTCCCCTCATGGACTTTGGATTCCAGGGGAGCGCAAACAGAAAATGAACGAAATCAATCAGCAAAACCTATAGTACGTTCGGCTATGGTATGGGCTGAAGGGAAACAGGAATGGAGAAAAGAAGGTAGGAAGTTTAAAAGTACGCGGTTTGCAGCTTAGATAAAGGTACCCGCAAGGCTGAGGTAACATCTGCATCAGCAGAGAAATATTCCAGGCAGGGGAATCAGTACGCACAAGGGCCCTGAGGCAGAAACACCATTGGCTGGCATGGTGGGAGTGAGGCCAGGAGACCATGAGAAGAGGTGCGGGATAGGAGTGCAGGTGCTAGCAGTGAATGGTCTTGTGCGCCGCGGGGACAACCGTTCAGCTTTTCTCTGAGTAAGGGCAGAGCCTGGAAGGCTTTTGAGCCAAGCACCCGCACCCTCTGGTTCGTATTTTAACAGCGTCCCCTTGGTGACTGTGTCACTGGGGGACAAGTATGGGGACAAGAAGGTGCTTCGGAGCTGTAGCAATGGCCCTGAGCCTGATCACGGCCATCAGGAGAGCTGGTGTGACAGAGCAGAGGCCCAAGATTGACCCCGGGGTTATCCAACGTTACTGAAAGGCATCCACAAAGGCACCCGGGGAAGGACGGACAAAGGAGGAGGAGGAGGAAAACCAGCGCTTGTGCACTCCGGAAGCCAGCTGGCCCAGAAGAGGGCACTGCAGAGCTGCACTGCAGGCTGTGGTGGGGCTGAGCTCAGTGAAGACAGACCCAAGACCTGGGCTAGGGCCGCTCAACGGTCAGTGGATGAGGAAGCAGAAAACCAGCAGGGAGAGGGAGCCAGGGTCTGACCGTCCTCCCCAAATTCACCATCTGAAAGCCAGGCGCTGAAGCCGCCTGCTTGTCCCGTTGACCCTCCAGCTGTCAGCCAGCAAGCAAGTGTAGTGGCTCCTCTCGGGACCGGCAGGGCTGAAAGAAATACGAGCAGAGCTTCTGCAGTACTATTGTGACGGATTGGTGGCTTTGATCACAGACCTTTATTTTCTTAGTCCTGCAGGCTGGACATCCAAGCCCAAGGTGCCACTGGGGCTGCTTCCTGGGACGGCTTCTGTTCCCAGATTGCTCACAGTTGCTTCCTGTTTCTTCACCCGGCGGCGGCGTCTTCTCTGTGTGTGTGAAGAGAGGAGAGAGGGAGCGAGGGAGGGGAGAGAGATCTGGGTCTGTTCCTCCTCTTGTTTTTTACTGCAGCCCTGGGGATCAGATCCGGGGCCCTGCCACGCTAGGCAGGCGAACGACCAGCAAAGGTGTCCCCAGATTACTTTCCTTCTAAGAGCACTGGCTTTATCAGGTTAAGACTCCTCCCTATGACCTCATTTAACTTTACCTTCCTAAGGCTCTGTCTGCAAACACAGCCAGATCGGAGGAGCACGGGTCTTCAGCCTACGGATTTTGGGAGGGGACACAATTCAGTCCATAGCAAAGTCAGTAATAAAGCCCCAGCCCTTTCCCCTCTCCAGCACTTAAAAAAGCGCCCAACGCTGTTAATTCACCTCAATTACTCTCCTATTATGCTATTATCACTTCAGTTAGGTTTATAATTCAGAGAATAGCGTGTAACAAAAACGTGAAATTCTAGTTCAGAAATTAAAAAAAAATACGTTTCACTTGTTAACAAAATCTAATCTTGGAATGGATTATTCAGGAAAAAAAGTTGGTGAACACTGCCATCTACTGGAATTTTGCTCAAAGCGCATTTGTTGGACTTTTCTGGTGCTTTGCCAAAGATAAAAGTCCGTACCATATCTTATCGGTGGTTCTTTCTAATGAGTAGAAAGTTAGATGATCTTTGAATTTAATCTCCTAACCAGTATTTCAAACACAAATATTTGGGGATGCAAAGATCCTATCGTGACAAAGTTGATCTCTTCTTATCGCTGAGATGAGGTCTAAACTTGATAAACATTAAGACGTAAACATCATAGAAACAAACATCTATGCTTCTGGAAATAATTTAAATTATCATTGGAATTTGTTTTATTTTCACTTCTCCACTGTAAAATGTTTGATCTTCCAGCTAGCGTAATCCATAAACAGGACCCAGCTTCCTTTTATCTAGTGGTGCTGCCATCAGGAGTAGCTATTTTTATGGTCTAATGAGGCTGCTTGAGCTCCAGCCACCAAATCCACATTCCAGCTAGCAAAAAGAGGAAGACTTTTAAGAAATGTAACATGTATCCGGGCTTCTATTCTAAGTTCCCTGGAACTTAGTTATACGGTAATGTTGTTCTTCAAAAGAAAGACTGGAAGATGTAGGTTTTAACTGGGTAGCCATGAGCAGCCCCCCAAGTTTGGAGTGCTGTTACAGAAAGAGTGGACTAACGGTCTTGGCAACAGGCAACTTGCAATCTCTGCCACAGCGTGATGAACGGAACAAGTGATACGCAGCTGTATTTGTTGGAAATACACATGCGTATGTGCTTGGAAAAGCTTGGGGTATCTACAGTTAGTCACAGTTGGTGTCTTTGGGAGGAAGCTCTGGATGAATGGGAGAAAGGGGAAGAACAGAGACAGTTGTTCAACTCACCTTTTGTGCTTTTGAATTTTACATTGTGGCCGTGTATTTTCTACAGAAAAAAGAGTGCAGTGCAAAAGTTAATATTTGATTTTGAGGCTTTATACCTGCATCTGCTTTGTTAGCTGAAAGCCCGGCTCCACAGCGTCACTGAGGTATAACTGGCAAATAAAAACTGCCCTAGTAGGGGCTGGGGATTTAGCTCAGCGGCAAAGCGCCTGCCTGGCAAGCGCAAGGTCGTGAGTTCGGTTC